ATTACCATCATGTGGCCTGGCGTCTGCTCAGCCCTGACCATGTCCCAGGCATGTGTGAGCTCTCACCAGACAGTTTACCAAGTCCTCCCAGTACCCCCTGCATTCTCCTCAGCCCCATTTCCTGGAGTGAGAAATCAAGGGTTAGAGAGGTCAGGTCACAACTAGCAAGTAGAAGGGCTGGATTTGCCCCGCGATGCTGGATCACAGAGACAGCGTTCAGAGCTGCTGACTTGTGACGCCTCCTACGAGTCCTGTTAGAGAATTGAGGTTGGTCAGTTCCACATCTGGGATCTAAAAGCTGTGGGTTAGGTTGCTGAGGCAGGTGCTGTTGGCTTATCCACAGAGCGCTGGTGAAACTGACATGGCTCAAACCCCAGGGAATGCGCACCACCGTTTCATCGTCTTCCGTGGGGTGAGCAGTATGAACACACGCTGGTGTGCAGCAGCGCGAACCAACCCTTCTCGTGGGAAACACAGCCCAGGCTGTGTAAGCACTGGGCATTACCCAGAGGTTAGCCATCGAGCTGCAGAGAGTCACCAAAACCTCTGATCCGAAGCCACTGACTCACAAAAAAAGGGAAACTGAGTCTCAGAGAGGGGCAGGGCCTGGCTCAAGGTCACCGAGGGAGCAGAGCCACAGCTGAGGCTGGGCCTTTGCTCAATGGGGCAGGAGATGGAGCCCTCTGAGGAGCTCACAGTGCTCACCAGTGTCCTGGGGGTGGAACAACAGAGCCATAGCCCTGGTGTGCCCATCCGCCCCTTGTCTGAGGCTCGGACGTCCACACCTCCTCGCCTCTCTGCTCCATTTGTCTCTCTATGCCCCGTGTGTGTGTGCCTCTGTCTTGGGCTTGGTCTCATGATCTTGTTTCTCTCTGCCTCTGTTTACCTGTCTATCACTCTGCCTCTCATTCCCAGCCCCCAAGCTTGGCACCAACCCGAGACAACCTGAAGGCCTTCTTCCAGCCTCGATGGGTGATGCCCATGGTGTGTCCTGAGTCTGTTACCACAGGCCACACCCTTACCCAGGCCACAACACCTGGCCACTCCTGGCCACATCCAGGCTTACCTGGCCAGGCTGCCTGTACCTGGCCACACTGGTACAGTTGCTCTTGGGCCATGGAGAGGGGGCAGAGGCTGGCGTCCCACTCTTTCCCTGGAAGTACCACCTGTCCCCTGCCGCGCACGTCATCAGTGGGCCAGGGCAGGACAAGGCCTGGCTCCTCCTGGAGCCCCTCAGATGTCCCAAGCCCCACCCCCCGCCAGCTGGGACACACAAGGAGGGGACTCTGCGAGTCTGCTGGTGGCTCTGGGGCAGGGTCTCAGTGCTCTTTCCAGCCCCAGTCCCTGTCCACTCCCTCCTGGTCTGGCCCCCTTCCTTATCCCCCACCTTCCTTTGTTCTTTCCTATCTCCTTGCTGACCACCTCCCTCCTGCCCGCCTAGTTACTGAGTGCTGAGTTCTCCTTCCCTGCCTGGCCCTCAGTTTTCCTAGATAAAAATGGTCACTGAAAGCTTAGTGGTGACGAGATGTGCCGGCTTTGGGATGCACATACTTGGGCATCAGGCAAGCCCATGTTCAGACCCCAGCCACTCCACTTTCTAACCCTGTGACCTCACAAACTAGATCTGTGCTCTGTGCCTCAGTTTCCCGCCCCAGTCTGGGCCCACAAGGGTTTCTGCTCCCGGGGATCTTTCCCCTGCTTAGCGATGGGCGCCTCGGCAGCCCTGGTTACTATCATCACGTACTGCCTGGGCATTGTGCGGGTCTGACCTGGACCCAGGGTGGGAGGGGCTGGGGCCCAGGGTGGGCGGGTGGACGGCGAGACGCAGCAGATGTCCCCACCCTGACCCAGGCCTGTGACCCCCAGCCCTGCAGAGCCGGGAATACAGAGTTGCTGGAAAGGGCAGACGTATGGCTTGGGCTTCCGGGAACTGCCCCGTCAGCTGTGGGCGCCCCATGGCCTGAGTCAGGGCTCTTTCTTAGGCAAGTGCGTCAGGCGCTGCTGGAGACACAGGCTTACTGCTCTCTCTCCTGCCCCTCCCGAGCTCCGCTGCCTTTTCTGGTGGACAAGCTCACCCCTACTTGCTCCAGAAAGCATTAGTGCAGAATCACGTTCTCCCAACAGATTCATTCAACAACTAGGAGAGGCCAGTGTCATTCCAGGTGCTGGGGTTCCGCTGTGGACGGAACAACTCCTGTCTCTATTCAGCCCACCGTCTGAAGGGTGCATGCTGCGGAGGGGTTGGGCGTCAGCAAACTCCTGCCTGAGGAGGAATCTAGCCAACTGCCTGTTTTATAAATAAAGTTTTATTGGAACACAGCCATGCACATTCACTTACATACCAGTCTGTGCTGTTCTGGTATCAGTGGTAGGGTTGAGCATGGGGACAGAGACCCTTGTGGCCCACAAGACCTCAAATATTTACTATCTGACCCTTTATGGGAAAAATACTGAGCTTGTTTTATATATTAGTGCTAAGAAGTATGACTTAATGAATTTTATTTTCTTTTATCATCAAATTCTATCAGAATATAAATTTATAAATGTGGATACTGAATAAAGTCAACACCAATAATAAAAAGCCTGTGATTTTACCACTGTGAATTGTTTGCCACAGAATCTTCCAGGTGTTTTTCCATGCTTATACTCATACGTGTCTGTTTTTTGGGTTTTTTTTTTACAAAACTGGTTTCACAATGTGCACCGCATAGATACCTTTTAAAAATTTTTTTCTTTTTACATTTGCTGGTATGCGGCACACATCTTCCTGTGACAGAAAATATTCTTAATGAATGTCATTTTCCTTCATGCATCTACTCCATGGTGTGGCTTTTGTATTCCACAGGTCCTGTCTTATTAGATATTTAGGTCATTTCAAATGTTTTGCAATGAAAATCAATCCTGCCGGGAGCGTCTGCACTATGGATCTTGGCAAGCGTGTCTGATGATTTCCTTGAGATAAGTTTCTGGAACTAAAAGTGCCGTGTCAACTAAACTTGTACATTTTAAATTTGGGGATCTGAGTTATGACTTGTTCTAACACAGTCCTTAAAGGTTCCAGGTAGCCTGGTCCCCCCAGGGCAGCCATCACTGAGTTGTCCCCTTAGGGGCTGGGCTGCAGCACTGGCCAGGAGTTTCCACCCACCAGTGGCTGAGGGCCGGCTCAACTAGCCCGAGCAAGTGGGTTTGAAGTCTGCCAAGTTCTTGAGGTTTTTAAAAACATTTTTCTGTACATCACCAAGAAGCATTATGGGAAGGTGAGGAGGTAGAACGCCAGGGGCCAGAAGAATCGCAGAGTTTGGGTTTCACTTGCCCCAGCCCTCCCTCTCACACCCTGAGTAGTGAGAGCCATCTGGCTGTCCCAGCCTGGGGCCTCAGTTTCCCCTGAGCGTCCTCCCAGGTGTAAATTCTAGGATGCGATTGTCCTCATTTGATGATGGACAGCTCTGCAGCGCTGGGGGCGGCGTCTGTGTGTACACCCTCTTCTGCGCCCTTCTAATTCGCCCTGCGCATTTTCGGGCCACCTTGTAGCTGTCCGCCTCCCTGCGGCCAGTAAGCGTTTAGGTCAGAGCCTGTGACTCAAAACTGAAGTGGAAGAACGTTCAGTGAATGCAAACTTTAAAAATCAGATTTTCAGAAAGTTTTGGGAGTTTCAGGCTTATCTTGTGGTTGATCTTGAGGCCCCAGAGCCCTGAGAGCTCAGGTGAAGTGTCGCTGATTTGAAGTCCCGCCAGGCCCTGGAGGGTGGTGACATCTGGATGACATGCGCTGTGCACACAGAGTTGCCAGGAGACCCGCCAGAGAAGGTGCTATAAACAGCTCCTGTGCTTAACTCATTTAGGAGGTGAAGCCCCTTAGATAGCCCTGGCCCCCGGCTCTACTTGCAGTTTTGAGAGCCTGTGTTGTAAAATCATAACTGCAATGACACCATAATGCTTAATTAACACTTGCTCTGTGTGCACAGAGAGGTAAGGGAACCTCTCCAAGGTCTCACAGCTACTGCATACAAAGCAGAGCCAAGATTCAGATGCAGGTATTCTGGCTTGGCGAGGGCAGGCTTGGCAAGGAATTGTGGTCAGTCACAGTTACTATGCTGTGGGAAGCTGTAGGCGGTGCCATCCACTAGGGTGTTCTGCAGGGCTGGAAATGCTCTGATAGCTGTGCTGTGAAAAGCTGATTTCTGCTGGATGGAATGTTCTGGAAGGAGGCTTGAAGGTCTGAGGCTGGGTGCAGTGTGGCAGAGCAGTTGAGAAAGGCATCAGGGATGCTGTCCTAAAGGACCCTGAGCCTGGCCTTGGATGGCAGGCGTGTCCCCCTGCTCGTGGGTCCCCCAAGCCTGAATCCCACACCTCTGCGGCCTGGTCACAGGAACAGGTGGAAGCCACAGTATTTCAGGGGCCGTTTCCCCCAGGGCCAGGCCACCCCCTCTGAGGGCTCCGGTCAAGGGCAGGGTAATTGACTGGGGAATGACAGACTGATGGGCCAGGGCTGCCCAGGCGCAGTGGGTAGCCTTGGGGTTCAAGGCTGTTGCCTAGGTTTGAATTCTCCCTTGCTGTTCATTGCCTCTTTGACTCAGGGCACCGTGTCCCTTTGCCTCTCTAAGCCTGTTCTCAGATGCAAAATGGGGGTTGTAGTCAGAGTCACCTCACAGCACTGTGCTGGGACCATCACCAGCGAGGTGACCTCATGTCAATGGCGTTGCTTGGCTCCTTGTGCTGGCACAGGGCTGTGCGGGAGACATGCTGGGTGATGGTGATACGGAGGCATAGGGTGGGGGGTGCCTGTGGGAGTGTGGTGAATTTTGGGGGCACTGAAGTGGAGAAGGCTGCTCTGGGAGTGGGGAGGGATGGGGACACCCAGGGGACTACAGGTCTGGGACCCCAGTATCGCAGCTTGCCTGTCGGAGCATGCAAAGTCCTGCCTCCCATGACATCCTGAGCAAAACTCCGAGGGCACCATGTACTTTCCTGATGGACTCTCCTGTCCACTTGCCCCCGCAGGACCAGCTGAAGCAGTGCTTCTCCAGGCGACCCGCCGAGGCCAAGGACACCGACACCCTCGTGCACGAAGCCGATGGCCAGTATGGGACGTGGGCAGAACAGCGCCAGAGCGCAGACAGGTAGCGTACATGGGCAGGTTCCCTGCTGCCCTGAGGGCATCTGGCTCAGAGATGTTGTGATTTCCATATCCTAGTCATATGAGGAAACCATTTGGGTTGTAAAAAAGAAATTTAGGGGGCTGGGGATGTAGCTCAGTGGCACAGTGCCTGCCTGGCAAGCACAAGGTCGTGAGTTCAGTTCCCAGTACCAGAAAAAAAAAAAAAAAAAGAAATTTAGATAGATAGATGATAGATAGATAGATAGATAGATAGATAGATAGATAGATAGATAGATAGATGATGCCCAGTACAGGCAAATCCACAGGGAGAGATACAGTTGGGAGAATGGGTACCACTGCTTCCCGGGCACTGGTTTCCTTTTGGGATAACGAGAATGTCCTAGGCACTGATGGTGGTTGCAGAACACTGAATATAGTCAGCATCACTCATGGTGGCCTTTGTATTGTGTGTACTAATGCTATAAAAATTATAAAGGAAATGAAAACTGCCCATAACCCCAGGACACAGACGGACCTGCATAATGCTCTCTGGCATATTCCCAGCCTTCTTTCCGTGTGTGCAGGCTTACAAACGTGCACATGAAGTGCACACAAGGCATCAGAGGCAACATTTAGGGTCTCCACCACTCGCGTCTGGTGGGGCCACCGCTGTCAGCCTGACCGGAAGGCACATTCTGCCAGGTTCTAAGGGCTGAAGTTTGCGGAGCACACCCTGCATTCAGGAGCAGGCTGGCGTGAGTCCAGCCCCACCCTAACTGTGGTGGGACCTGAGTAGATTGATTATATTTTCCCAGGTAGGTTCCTTCTCCACAGAAAGGGAGTCACACTTAGAAATCAGCCGAGGTTTACTGGGCATGTGTGCCGGGCACTGTTCACGTGGGTTCACAGAGCGCGGTGATGTTTCGTTCTCTTACCCATTGTGCGGCAGAGAAAAGCCACAGCACTCAGCACACGGGATGGTTGAGGGAGGCTCGTGTGGCAGTGAGGACCCGGCACACACCGGGAGCTTTAGTGTACCGTGCCTGTTTTTGTTTCACACATATTCCCCTCTTGGGTGGGATGAGCACAGCGGCTGCATCCGGGCCACCTGGGCTATTTTCAGCCCATACCTTCCCCGGCCGGTGGCTTCATGACTTCAGGCAAAGTCTTGGACGTCAGAGAGACCAGGGTTCAGCTCCCCACAGGGCCACTTACCACTCCTGTCACTCTGTGACTCACTTTCCCTAGCACACCTCACCTAGGAAAGTGAGGCTCGGACACGAGGAATCTGACCAGGGACCCCGTGTGTGTTCAAGTCTGACTGCGCTTGAACCCAGGTCTCTCACCTCCTTCCCTCGATGTCAGGAGTAGCCACGCCCCTGGCAGCCTCTTATTGAGAGTTGTGTTGCCGTTGATGGAACTGGGAATGGATAAGAAAAAGAAAGAGAAGCCAAGGGCAGGACCTACAAACCTTTCTTCCCCTTTCTAGCCTGTGAGATCTAAGTGTTTAGTTAATGAGCTTAAATTTCACTGCAGCGCCCCCGCGAGAGCCCTGGACTGAGTGTGGAGACTGAGCCCACGCTTTGCCTATTTCCTGAGTGACCCTGGGAGCCACTTTCCGCCTCCAGACCCAAAGCCCACTCTTTAGATCAGCTCTTGGTGGCGCGCGCCCTCTGCTGTCTCCCGGCGGTGCTGCGCCTCCTGGCCCTCCTTGGAGCCCTGCTCCCAACCTTGGGTGGTGCTGTCCTCTGCTGTCTGCTGATGGTATTTCCCTCAGCCTCTGTGAGTTTGCCTCACGACCGCTCCATTCCCTCCACAACCGCCCTCATCCAGGTAGGGAAATCAGCTCAGACTGGGCCCACCTGTCAGGGGAGCCCGCCTGCCCTTCCTCAGGGAAAGGGTTTCCCGGGCCTTGGAGGCTTGGCTGGGCTCTGGACTTGTGCGTCTTTAGTGTGCGTGTGTTTGTGTTGGGAGGGAAAAGCCATTGGCATGACTTATTTATGAGTTTCCTGACCTGCGTGGCTCTACTTCTCTGAACGCACCTCAGTGTATTTCCATGGCTAGAGAGTTGAGGGGTAGCAGAGGGCCTGCAACACGGATCCTGGAGTCAGACAGCCTGGCTCCGTCCCAGTTCCACCCCCTTGGGCACTCAGTATGGTGTCTCTGGGCCTCAGTTTCCTCATCTTTAACAAGGTCGGTATTTAATTCATGAGTTACTCCCGTCTTGCAGGATTGTAGGGGCTATGGGGTTTTAAATAATCCCATAGGATTATGGAGGGGATTAAATGATGCAGTTTTTAGCACAATGCCTGGCACATAGTAGGTGCTCAGTAAATCTTCACTGACTGAGTGACCGGAGCAGTGCAGGAGATTTCCCTGCTCCCTGGCCTGCAGCAGGTAGCTGCTGGTAGTGATTTGTTCTACCTCAGCACTGGGCAACAGAAATACAACTTGGGCTGCACTGGAGAGATGTGTGTCATTTAAAATGCGCTGGTGGCCACATCCAAAGAGTGAAAAGAAACAAACAAAATGAATTAATTTTAAACTCCACAAGTTTTAATTCAAATGAATTTGATCAAAAGCAACAGAGCTGAAAGACTCCCATTGCAGCATGCAGTTGACATGAGAAGTTACCAGCCACACATTTCACTTTCTTTTCTTCGTCCAAAGTGCTGGGAGTACCCTGGGTGGACTTTGCACTCGCAGCCTGCCTGGGCTGCCCCACCACGTGTCTCCCTTCCCTCCCTTTCCTGCAGCCTGGCCCCCGAGTCTCCGTCTCCAGACAGCAGCAGCACATCCGTGCGGAAACAGCCCCCCAGCAGCCGCCTGTCGTCCCTGTCCTCCCAGACAGAGCCCACCTCGGCGGGGGACCAGCAGAGCGCCAGCATGGACCACTCCAGCTCTGAGCTGGACTCTACAGATGGGACAGAGGCGCTGCCCCGACAGGACACCTGCCCTCCCCAGGGGACAGATGACTTCTCCTTCATCCACGTAAGTCTCACGGGGTGGGTGTGCTGGAAGCAGTCGTCCATGGTACTGAGGATCAAACCCAGGGTCACTCTACCACCGAGTTACACCCCCAGCCCTTTTTATGTTTTGAGACAAGTCTCCATAGTTTGCCCAGGTTGGTCTTAAACTTGCAATCCTCCTGCCTCAGCCTGGGAGGAGCTCCAATGTAGGCCTGTGCACCCACCCCTGGCCAGTGCTTTCTTCTTAGGGAAGTTCCAGTGTCCCCCGGGGACCTGCCTGCAGGGGTCAGCTCTTAGGCCTGTGGGTGCCGAGTGCAGTCTTTGAGACGGGATTGCTTAGGCATGTAGCCCAAGCCAGTGTCTTCCGGCGGTGTGTCTTGGGGCAGATGTCTTAGGCTCCTGGGGCCTGAGCTTCCTCACTCCACACCTACATGCAATCACACGAGTTCTGATTAAAGCTAAGCTAAACCCTCACCTGCCAGGTAGGCAGGAAGTCTGATTCCTGCCCTGGAGGTTGGCCTGAGGTTTCTCTCCCGGGCATGCAGAGCCTGATGTGTGACTGCTGGTTGTGCTGGGCATTGCCACCAAGGCTTTGCTCTGTAACATTCAGGGCGCTCTGTGATACCTGCTGCAGGAAGGAAAACCCCTCAGGCATGGGTACCTGTTGTGGGGGGGGCAGCCCGTAGGACTCAGCTCCCCCCCACCGCAGGGTGCCAGGTGCCCCATCAAATGGCCTCTTGCTCCACCCAGACCCTCCCAGACCAGGTCCCATTCTTCTCACTGACAAGCCCCACCCCAGGAATCAGGCCTTGAGACACAGGGTGAGGGGTCATTACTCCCCTCCCGTGACAATAGAGCCACTGCCCGCTGCCTCATGTAGGTGCAGGTCTGTAGCATCTGGAAGGCCCCTCTTTCCTGGGAGCAGTGCCACACACATACGCTTTAGGAAAGCTGCCAGGTTCCCCCACCGGGGCTTCCTCTGGGACCTTACACCTCGCTACACCTCCCTACACACGGCCAGGCTCTCCTGGGCACCAGCAGATAAGTGAGACAGAGAGAAGCAGGAAAGCCTTCATCCGCCGTGGCCCACCTCTCCTGTTGTAAGGGTTAAGTTAGGTGCTGCATTCACTGAGGGCTCCAGGTTGCCCAACGCTGCTATGGCTCAGGACTTGTGCGATGTCACCGTGCCCTCGCATATCTTGCTGAACATTCCTTCCAGAACACGAAGCGTTTTCTTTTCCATGTCCATTAGAAGGAGCAACAGCAGCGTCAACAGCCACCAGCCACTCGGTGTCAGCACTGGTGGGGGCCTGGTCGCCGTCCCTCTCAGCAAACACTAACAGCCCAAGAGGCAAAACCCCCTGCCCATTCTGCAGATTAAGAATTTGAAGTGGCCACGGATGGATCCCAAACGCTGGCACAGGTCTAACTGCTTATTATCCTGTGCTGGGGTGTGTGTCTCACTTGCCTGGGTTTTGGTCTCTGAGGGGAGTGTTTGGGGCGGAGGTCACCAGGGCAGGCATTCCATGGTTTGTTTGTTTGTTTGTTTGTTTGTTTCCGTTACCAGGAATTGCACTCACAACCTTGTGTTTGCCAGGCAGGCACCGTGCCGCTGAGCTAAATCCCCAGCCCCTATTCCATGGATACAGAGCTATCTCCCTGTCTAAGAAACCAGCCCTGAATTGATAGTAGTGGTGCACGCCTGTAACCCCAGCACTCTGAGAGGCTAAGGCAGAAGGATCAAGTTTGAGCCAAGCCTGGGCAACTTAGCAAGACTTGACTCAGCAAGACTGTGTCTCAAGAATAAAAAATTGAAAAAGGTCTGGGGATGTAGCTCAGTGCAAAGGCCCTGGGTTCAGTCCCCAGTGTGGCAAAGAGTTTTGGTCTTTATTAATTTACTAATTAAGTAATTAGTAAAATAAAATGTAAAACCCTGGCCCCAACTAAATAGCCTCTCACAAATCAAGGAAGCCGTGTACACCCCGAGGTAGTGCCCTTGATTGATGGTTCTCTTGCTTTTTCTTTTTCTTTTCTTTTCTTTTCTTTTCTTTTTTTTTTTTTTTGTTCTTCCTCTTTCTGGCCACTGAAGCAAACCTCAGTCTTGGACTCCAGTGCTCTCAAGAGCCGAGTGCAGCTCAGCAAGAGAAGCCGCCGCAGGGGCCCTATCTCCCACTCCCTCCGGCGGAGCCGATTCAGTGAGTCAGAGAGCCGGTCCCCTTTGGAGGAGGAGAATGATAACACATGGATGTTCAAGGACTCAACAGGTTTGTACGCCTGTGCCTTCCATCCCACCCCAACGCCCACAGAGCAGCAGGGGCTTGGGGGGGATCCTGGGAAGAACTCCCCAACTTTGCAGGCTTTTGTGCCTTGGACATAATTACGTAAGAAACTGATCTCTTATTTTGTAGAGCTTATCAGAAACTATAATAAAAAACCTTCTGAGGAATGATAATTTGGATCTTGCATATTACGAAGGACAGAGACACAACAGGGTTTCACTGTTTCTGCTTTTATCTTTATCAAGTTCACCCTTTTGCATTCTTTAAGTTTGCTTGCAGGTCTTTTCCCAAACTCCTGGGTTGAAAATCACTTCGTTTATTATAGGTCTTTTTGTTTAATAATTATTAAAGGCTATACATGTTCCTCTAAGGACTGCTTTGGCTGCTTCTGTGTCAAAATCTGAGCTGCCTCTTATAGCAGATAAGAATTTATCTAGAGAAAGTTGTTCCAGGCAGAGGTGTCTCCAGGATCAAAGGGACAGAGGTGTGGTGAGAGTACTCCGTGTGTACCAGGGGCATTTCCCAGCAGTCCCTCACACTGGGTATCAGAGACATGTGCTCTAAAGACATGCAAGGGCCAGCTCACCCCTTGGTCCTTTGTTAAGGAGTTAGATTTCATTGGTAGGTGGAGAGCTGTGAAAGATTTTTAAGAGGAAGCTAAATTGCTCCTTGCAGTGGGGGCTATGGCAGCTGAGCTCCCCTGTACAGACACAGCTTTTGTGGTGGGGAGAGGTAATGGGGATTGTACCCAGGGCCTTTGTGCTGAGCTATGTCTCTAGCCCTTTTTTTTTTTTTTTTAATTTTGAGACAAAGTCTCCCTAAGTTGCTAAATTACCCAGGCTAGGCTCAAATTTAGGTTCCTGCTGCCTCAGCCTCTCAGAGTGCTGGCGTTACAGGTGTACAGCACCACCCCCAGCTCAGACAGTTTTTAGTCTCCGAAAAGCTACTGTAGGTGTTTTTTAGTAATCTGAGATTTGCCCTTGGCAAACAAAAGGATGTCAGCCAAACCTCTGAAGTCAGTAAAATCCATCGCTTCTGACCAGATAACCTTTAACAAATGCTAGGAAGATTATCTCCCTCTCCCATTCCATTTCTGTTTTTAAAGAAAATGCTTAGGTACCTTGTGTGAGTGAGATATCTCCCTGTGTGCTTTCTTGGCTTTCTGAGCCAAGCTACAAGGTATGATCAAAAGATACAGTGAATGCTTATATTTAACAGTTAATACACTAGAAGACACACTGTTTCTAATCTCTCTCAGAATATTCACACACACACACACACACACACACACACACACACACACACACACACACACTCTTCAAACACTTATTCCATTGTCCTTGCCGCTTTCTGCAGCAGTTCTGGAAGTTCTCTTTTATGAGTGTCTCTATTTGGTGTAGTAAAAACTATGGTGAATGCTGCTGCTATGTGTCATCCAAAAAAAGGCAGGTCCTAAAAACACCACAGTGTGTCCTCATCCTCTTTATTCACTGGACCTGGCATGTGTAACTTCTGGCTCTTTCCCAAAGTAAAAATGACCCTGAGAGGTAATTGCTTTGAATTGAGGCAGCCACCACAGTGCAATCAGAGACACTAATGAAAGAGGATTTCCAGAGCTGCTTCGGAAAGTGGCAAGAATGATGGGATACAGTGTTTGAAGTGAAGAGGATTAATGTCAGTGTGTCTTTTACTATGATTTAAAAAAAAAAAAAAAAAAAAAAAAACAAAATTTAAGCATTCACAGTGCTTTTGATCACACCTCATATGCCAAGCTACCCGGAACACATGAAGACCACAGTAGGGACAGAAGTGCAGAGATTCCCCAGTGTGGCCCTGGCAGCAGCACTTCTGGCTCCCAGCAGACTTGAGGGGGCCCCCAGGACCGGGGGAGACTGGGACTGGCCCTTCCTCGTGTGCCAAGTTCCCTACTTAGCCCAGACTGGAAGGATTAGGCCTTGCTGAGAGGGTAACCCCACCCCCACCTCAGTACCCGCACGTGCCCGGGCCTCTAGCAGGCTGAAACTCCTTACCCTCCAGTCCTGGAAGACGGGGCCCAGCAGTCCATCGCCCAGGAGGCACAGGAGACTCTTCACCCTGTCCTCGGAGGGCACAACCCCAGAGTCTCGTTAACTGGGCACGTTTCTGTCTCTGTTCCGCTGCCCATGAAGGATTTCCTTCTATTGCCCTGACATGGCATGAGCCAGGGCCCGTGAGGTGGGTCTGCCTGCATGTGCCCTCCTCCAGAAGAAATCCTGCTCTGCCCGGTGTCCCATCTCCTAGCAGAGTTGGGAGGAGGAGAGCATGACGGTGGGCACCTGGGCTCATCCTCTCCCGCACGAGAGCCGAGCCTAGGCACGGAGTCCTTGCAGGCTGCAGGAGGGGTGCTGAGATGCCCACCATATGCAAGGGGTCCGGCACATGGCTCCGCAGGCAGCAGCTGCAGGTAACTTCCGTGCTCTTTTCTTTGCAACAGAAGAGAAACTGCCCAGAAGGGAAGATTCTGATGAGGAGGAAGCGCCATCCAGGACAGAGAAGACGCCAGTCAGCCAGCCACAGAGGGTGCCTGTGTTTCCAGGCGTGGACCCGGCCGTCCTGAAGGTACCAGAGCCACCTCATGGGGGGGATGTTCCTCCCTCCCTCTCTCCTCCCTCCCCATCCATCATGTGTCCATCCATCATTTGCTAACCCTTGCTCCCTCCTTATTTCTCAAATAGTTTAAGACCCCCAGCGGACGTTGCAGCAGTAGTACGGAGAGCTCCCGCATACCTTCGACTCTCCTACCCCAGCGATTGTATCGCTCATGACCATAGCACATTGTCACAACCAGGGAAGTGGCCTCTGGTTATTAACATTAGTCATTTATTTGGATTTCACCAGTGGCCCAGTGTTGCTTTGTCTCCCTTTGCTGTCTTTCTGCAGCCCCAAACCTGCGGGCCCTCTCATGAGTCTTAAATGCCCTCCAAAATGGTGACGCTTGCCCACTGCTTGCCCGTGGGAACCTAGTGGACAGTTAGGATTACTCCTTTTGTAAAGATGCAGGAATAAGAATCTATGCAGAGTGGGCTCCGCTGGAGGCAGAGCTGCTGGCCTCAGCAAGGTGGAGGATGAGGCAGTGAGGACCTGGCTATGCAGGGCTGATCCTGAGGGTCCTGATCCTGGACACCAGCCTAGCCTGACTCCTCAGCCCCGTGTCAGCTTCCTTGGGGGCCGTTGCTTTCCGAGCCCTGTGGACAAGCAAACTCTCCCATACGCAAGGCCGGTAATCCTGGTTCTCACTTCTTCCCAGGCTCAGCTGCACAAGAGGCCAGAGGTGGACAGTCCTGGTGAGACCGCCGGCCGGGCCCCGCAGCCCAAGACCCCCAAGCCCCAGTTCCAGCCTGGGGTACTGGGCAGCCGAGTGCTTCCCTCCAGCACGGAAGACAAGAGGTAAGCAGTGTGCAGACAGACTTGGCGTCGCAGAGCGCTGGCGAGGAGCGCATCTCTGCTGATTCTCCTCCAGCATCTGCCCTGGGATGCAGGGGCCTCTCTGCGTCCTGACAGCTAAACTCAGTGCCAGAGGAGGGCATGGAGGCCAGGATCATGTGCGCTGCCCGCCCCGCAGAAACCCAGGGCACTCCTGATCTGGGCAGACAGTGGTGAAACTGAGGCTTGCTCCTTCCACTCACCCTCTGGGAAGCACCTTTGTCTCAGCAGGATCAGGGGATGTGGGAAAGACAATCCAAGGGTATAGCCAAGTGGAAAGAGGTGAACTTGGCTCTGATCAGTGACCCTTCGTGGAACAACTGTCCTGTGCCTGGGCTCAGCCTGCTCGATGCAGAGATGACCTCAGCACAGCTCCTGCCCCACAGAGCTCTCAGCTGGGCTAGAGGTCATAGGCACAGGCTCCAAAGTTACACAGCCCAGGCTGGAGTCCAGCTGTGCAAAGTCACTGTACAGCTATGAGTCTCAGTTTCCTCATCTGTGAAATGGGTTTACAAACTGTCATGACCTGCCGGGTGGCTGTGAGGATGAAATGTGCAGTGACTGGGGGCCTGGTGTGTAGATATGCTCAATAGACGGTGAAATTCTTATAGCAAGTACTGTCAGCACATAAAGTTAGGAATTATTTTGGAAGCCAGGGTTGTGATATAAGTACCAAAATAGAATAGAATTGGCAAAGTGTAGCCTACTGTCTGGATTTGCCAATAAAGCTTTACTGGCACAGAGCCACGCCCACTCACATCAGTATTGTGTGTGGCTGCTTCCGCATGATAACTGCAGAGACATCCGTAGCCCACAATCAGAAATAGTTACTGTCTAGTCCTTTGTCTGACTCATGGAGGAGAGGCTGGTCACATCCCACGAGCTGACGGGAGGGGCGTCCAGATAGCCCCGCAGAGAAGGAGGTACTTCTGCCGAGCCCAGATGACCAAACAGGTCTCAGCTAGGCCAAGGGGCGGCGAGAGCAGGTGCTGAGCAGGGGCTGCAGTGAGCAGGGACCTGGAGGCCTGTGTTCCTGGAGCCACAGGCGGTGCGTGTCACTGCAGCACGGAGCAAAAGGACAAGATCAGAGAGACAGGGACAGCTGCCATGTGCCCCCATCCTAGGGACAGCAGAAGTACAGGGTCCAGAAGTACATGCGCATCTCCATGGCTGGAGGAGGCCCCTGACCTGGGACTTCAGCGCCTCTGGAGTCTGGGGTATCTCACACCCAGGTCTGCCCAGGGGCTGTCTCTTTCCTCATTTCCTCTTTCCTCATGTTCATGAGTGGAACAGCTCATGATGTCCCCAAGTTACCACTACCCTTTTCCCTGAGCTGCCCCTAACCAGGTCAGCAATTTGCTGGGCTCTCCAGGGCCAGGGGGTAGGAGCTGCTTCTTCTTTTCTGAGCTCAGAAAGTATGTTAGGTGTGTATGTGTGTGTGTGTGTAGGTGGGTAGTAGGGGGTGATTTTAAAGAACTGGCTCATGTGGTTGTGGAGGCTACTGGTAGGTTCAAAATCTACAGAGGAGGCTGGCAGGCTAGAGACGCAGGGTTCCAGTCCAATCTTCTTTCCAGGAAGTCAATTCTTTTTCTATTGATGCCTTCAGCTGATTGGGTATGGCCCACCAAGTATGGAGGTTAATTGCTTTGCTCAGTCTACTGATTTAAATGTTAATTTCATCCAGAAAAAGAACCCTTCACAGAAACAGCTAGAATAATGTCTAAGCAAATATCTGGGTACCATGGTCTGGTTGAGGTGACATAAAATTAAGAGATTCTGTACATGGATAGAGATAGAAGGATGGATGGATAATTGATAAATGGATGTATGAAATAACTTTATGTAAGATAACCTTTTGCAGATTATTTCACAGAATGAATATACCAGGACTTCTTTATCTTTGTCCATGGATGGACATTTTGATGAATTTCTGCTTCTTGCATATTGATTGTGTTAATGTGACATCTTTCTACCGTGATCGCTTGACCAGCCCCTGCCTGGGCACAGTGGACAGAGTCGGGCACCATGCAGCTCTGCCCGCAGGAGTCATGGTGTGGCCCACACTGACTCCCTGGCCTTGCAGTTTCAGGTCAGAAGAACCTTCTCCCCAGTGGCTAAAGGAACTGAAATCCAAGAAGAGGCAAAGCCTGTATGAGAACCAAGCGTGACAGGTAGAAAGGGCCCCATGGTCCCGGGAGCATAGCTGGGGAGGGCAGAGGCATGGAGTGGGGCATGGTGCCAGGGAGAGGGCAGCCATGCAGAGGGAGGGGGTGGGCAGAGTTGTGTTCAGGGGTGGTGGTGTCCTAGTCCTATGGGGCTGGAGCTAAGCTGGGCAGCCTGGAGTGGGAAAAATGGGCCTGGCAGATGCCCAGCCTTTGACCCTGTGCATTTGGCCAACCCTTCCCACTGCACCTGAGACTCCTTTTATATAATGAAAGTGTGGGATATCAACGGTGAGTTTAATCTGAACTGTTTCCAATTTCTACATGAGGAATGCATTCGTGTACAAACTAATTATATTTAATTTAAAAATATATATACAACCATCCCTCAGTATCCACAGGGGAGTGGTTCCAGAAAGACACTCAAAACCAGGGATGCTCAAACCCCTTATATAAAACAATGTAGTCTTTGTGTAAAACCTACACACATCTTCCCCGACACTTTAAATCGCTGCTAGGGTAATTATAATACCTAGTACAATGTAAATTGTCATTGTATTATATTAGTGAAAGAATAATAACATACAAAACTCCTATACATCTTTAATACACATGTACTTTTTCCCAAAGAACATCTTCAGTCTGGAGTCAGTTGAATCCACAGATGGGGAACACACAGGCTGACCTTATTTTAAAAACCAATTATATATACCCTGGTGCAGATCTCAGATGACTGGCCATTGGGAGCTTCAGTGTCCACACGCAAACTGGGTCAGCAGTGCCCACACCACTAAGGGATGCTCAGGGCTCACCCAGAACACACCGGAAGCACCAAACTGTGCACAGCCTGTATGTCCTCAGCTTGGGACACACGACGACAAGGCAAAGTCAGCCTTGGTTTGATTGGCGGAAGTGACCCATGCCCCCTGAAGTCCCAAATGCTTTGAAAACAACACTTTTTTTTAAAAATCGCTCCTTCAGTGGCAAAACCTGACCTGAGTGGAGATAGTGCTGTGGATGCTGTTTGTACCACTTTATGTATGGATTTATGAGATGGGGCCGAAAAATATGGTGATTGTTTAAATTTTTAAAAATTTATTACAGTGAAAGACACAGCCCCAAGCACTCCTCCTCCCTTCAAATACTTATCCCATCATTCTCACCACTTTCTGAAGCACTCAGGTCAGAAGAACCTTCTCCCCTGGGGACTATCAGAAATGGTTATTCATTTATTTGGTTTTTGGCGGTACTGGGGAAGGAAGCCCTTTTTCATGAGTGTTTATAGCTGCACCATCATGGCTGCCTCAGTGCCCTGAATTGATTAAATGTTTACCTTTCATGATTATTTTAATTTTGATGGGAGAGCCAGAAGTCGTATTGTGCCGGATCCAGTGAATAAGGTAGATGAGGACACACCATAGTGTTTTTTCTTTCTTGTTTTTTTTTTTTTTTTTTTTTTTTTTTGGTACCGGGAATCAAACTCAGGACCTTGCGCTTGCCAGGCAGGCGCTTGTGCCACTGAGCTATATCCCTGGCCCCATAGTGTTTTTATGAGCCCAACTTTCTATTGGAAGGCCTTTCTCTGTAGCAGCATTTACTGTATTTTTTATCACAACTGGTGAAGACACTCATGAAAGAGGACTTTCAGAACTGCTTCCGAAATGGCAAGAATGATGGGATAAGTGTGTTGGGAGCAAGGGGGAGTATTTTGAGAGGGAGTAATGGCAATGTGTCTCTTACTGTAGTAAATTTTAACATTCACCCTATATTTTGATCACCTCTTGCATTTATGTATTTGCTTAACTATATACAAGTACAAGAGATGAGGCTCAAGGCCTTGACCATGTTAGGCAGTTGCTGTACCATGAGCTACACCCCCAGCCCTGTTTGCCCCACTGGATAAATATTCATAGCATATGATGTGCTTGATTACAGGGCTGCTACATAATATATGTTACATAATATGTTTATGTATGGATGGATGCATACGTTTGAGTTTATAAGTGTGTGTTCATCTCAAAAAGACTTAAAAATCTCCCAGTAAATCCATGCTCCAGGAGCTTGGCTAAGCGTCAGCACCTGTGTTTATTTTGTGTTTAGTACGGCATATGTGCTGTCTTCTGGAGCCTCCAGCAATCCATTCATTTTAAAGTTTAATTTCATTTTTAATTAGCACACTGTAGTTGTACATATATATAGAATGCAGGGCAGTGTCTCAGTACACCTATGAGCTGTGTGTGTGATTAAGTCAGGGTAATTAGCAAATCCACCACCTCAAACAGTTATTAATTCTTTGTGGCGAGAGCATTCCAAACACTTTCTTCTACTTATTTTGAAATATATATTATTATAAGCAATCCACTTGAGGAAACTGGGGCTCAGAACTGGCCCTAAATGTCCCCTGGACCAGATGGCCCTCCACCCCTCTCACTTCACCCCTTTCCTACGCACCAAAAAGTCTTTCCTGGACTGAGCTTATGAAGGCTGCTTCCCTGGGGACTATCAGAAATGGTTATTCATTTATTTGGTTTTTGGCGGTACTGGGGAAGGAAGCCCTTGCTCATGCTAAGTGTGTGCTCCACCACTGGAATGCACCTCCAGTCCCCATGAAAAGTTGGAAGGCCTGGTGAGGGAGCCAGGCAGGGCCAAATGTTCCCACTGTTGACACCAGCACTTCTCCTTCTTCTCCAGGTAGGGGACAGTACCACATCTAATTAACAGAAGCCTTAACCGTTAGACCATCATGAGCCACAGAGAGGCCAAGCTGCTGCCCTCCCTCCTGCACCGTGCTCACGTGCCTGGGCCCTCCTGGGGCCAGAGACCTCTCTCCAGAGCCCGGATCCCACAGGAAGGCATCCCCTCCTGAAGGACCTGCTTAGCTCCAAGATAGCACTTCCGGCTGGGAAAGAAGCCAGACTGCCCAGAAATGCCCCTGGCGGGGTTTTGCTTTTTACACTAGAGCCTGCATTTCTACCGTCTTTCGACACCTTCTGCGTCTCCAGGAGCATCAGTGCCAGGCTGATGAGGTTCTGAAAAACACCTTAATTAGGAGACCGACTCTTGGCTGAGTCTTTTCCCCAGGAAAGGACATTTCCAAGAAGGTTCCAACCATTCACTTGCTGCTGTCATCTTGGTCCAAGGCATTACCATGGGGTTGGGAGTTCTGATTGCTTTGACAGATTCCTTTTTCTTCATGAGGAATCAGCGTTTCCAATTATTAAACATACCCTCCCCGATTCTCTTATGTGTATTTCTCCTTCTAGTGGGGCCATGTGCATAGCTGACCTCCTTTTTGTTTGCTTTGGAAGGCGATAAAGCAATAACTTAGCCAATTTTCTTTGAAACTTGACATGTATATATGTTTTTACATTAAAGGACAGGCGGACAGGTGTGTGAATAGTATGTGTTGAAGCATCCAACCTCAGGTTATCTTATCTCTATCCAAGCTTTGTACAACGTGTAACTGTCACCCTATATATATTCTCCCTCTTTCTTTCCCATTTGAGCCCTGATTTCCAAGGTGTGGCTTTTGTCCCTGGACCTCAGGGGGTCATGAGTGCAGCTTAAATGGCAGTATCTTTGTCAAACACCAGACCCACCCCAGGCATCTTCTTCTCCAGTTCTTTTGAACAAAGCCCAAGTTGCTGGAATAGAGCAGCCTTACTAATTCAGCCTCAAAGCAAATGCTTGAGTAAAGGCTACTTTTTGTTTTTTGTTTTCTCTCACCTTGACGCTCCCCTCCCAGCTCCACCTAACCACATGCTTTTGTTGTGGTGGTGGTTGTTCAAATGCTGGCGATGCTGGCATTACTCAAAACCCTTCCCAGAGGGGAACGCTAGGCCAAGGACTTCCCAGGAGTGCTGGCTGTTTGGTGACAAAATGTAAGACTCACCCTGCCTCTTTCTTTTTCTATAAGCTGCTTCCTGAGACTCTCCAGGCCTCTGGGGACTCCAGACAACTTCTGCTCTATCCTTTATCCTGGAAATCCTCAACTCCATCCCCCTCCATTTCCAAAGCACCAGGCACCAGCAAACATCCCAGATGTACCTGGCTGGCTGCCTGCCATGCTGGAGTTGCCATAAACCTCGTGCCAACCTTGCCAGAGAATCACCCAGTGGTGAGATACATGGTCAGCTCACAGGGCATGATCGCAGAGGGCCCTGGGGATGAATGTCCTGATGGATCCACGCATAGCACCAGCTAGACCGCAAAGTACACTCCTCAGAGGTGGAACATCTTTCTTGGTAAATCCATTATTTGCAAATAGTATCAAAACTTCCCTCTCTTCTCCGTGACCACATCTCCATGAGTCTTCATGTCTCTCCCCATCTTATCTCCCTCCCTAATCTGCTTTTACTGTCTCTTTTCCCTAATCTGCTTTTACTGTCTCTTTTCTCTCTAGGATTTCTCAAGGTTCACACAAATGCCAGTGCGCGGCTTAGGGTCACTGTTCAGCACCGTGGACAGCAACCGCGGGCCCCACCCACCTCCACCCTGAGTGGGTGGCCTGGGCTTTGCCTACTTATGGGCGGTTGCTGGGCCTGTGTCTGTGTTTGGGAGTTTAGCTCTGCTCAATGACAGTTTGTATTCTCATCCCTGAGGTATAATAGTCAGTCTGTTCCCTGTAGCTATCCCTGGAAGTATTCATCCTTCCAGAACTGCTTTGGTTGATTTTTGTTTGAAGATCCACTTCATGTTTTGCAACAATCTTGATGTGGTGGCTAAGTCAAAGAACCTCCCTTAGAACACACTGCTAGTGTTCTGACCCTGACTTCATCTCTTAGCTCTTCTCTCTCTTTCTGCCCAGTGGAAAGGGTCCTTTGGTACCTGTGTGGATGTATAGCAGCATGTAGAATGTTTAATGCTAAGTGAGTTGGATTTAAGCCCAAGTCAAATGGATAGGAGAGAAATCACTCCCAAATGAGATTGGCCTGGGAATCTTTTGCCCAACCTCTCACACCTTCACTGGCCATATACCTATTTAATTCCACCTTAGTGTAGACACACCCACTGACTCAACCCTAGCCAGAGCAAGCCCTGAAGGTCCTTGTCTCATCTCCAGCAGCACACAGCTGACATTCACAGTGGGTTGTGAGCAACCCTCCTATAGCAGGTTCCTCACGACCTTGGAGTCCTATCTATGCAGTGTAGTGAGAAGTGACCCAAGCTTGGGAGTCTTGGCAGGAAGCTGGGCCAGTGGGTTGTACATTTCCCCTTTTCTAAACTAGGTGAGCTCTTTGGAGCTAAGCAGTGGGTTGACCACTAGCTCCCAAAGTTTCCCTGGAGCCCCCTCTGCAATTCTGTCTTTTTAAACTAACTTCATATGCCTTAATCACCTGTGTGCAGTCAAGTCGCCTGCCCCACCCAGCAGCTCTATCTCTTCTCAAAGGAGTCTTACGTAGAATGCAGATTCCTCTGTAGGTACAACCTCCTCCTCCCCCTGTGCCCATCAGCATTTTGACAGCTGGCCTTCTGCTAAGTCTGTATCTCTTTCCCCTCCAGTGGGTCTTTGTCTTCATGGTCCCTTGCCTAATGACTCATGGTGAAGCCTCAAAAATTAATGTTGTAGAGAATTATTCAGCATCACCGGAGAAATTCTGGTGGAAGTGAGACCTCACTGAATTGGGGACTTTGGGGGCTTGGGGTGAGATTGACACTGACCACCTCAGGTTGTCTGGGATTAGGGAAAGGATAATCGGACAGCAGCATCTTACAGGTCATACAGCCCCAAACAAATTTGTCTTCCTCCGCCTCCCCAGAAGTGAGGCCCACTTTAGGAAAGTGCTAAGGAACAAGAACAGAAATAAGCATGGAGGGGCCGGGGATTTAGCTCAGTGATACAGCACCTGCCTGGCAAGCATGAGGTCCCTGAGTTTGATTCCTGGTACTAAAAAAAAAGGAAAGAAATAGTCATAGACTTGAGGTCCTGAGCCTTAGAGACTGATAAAGGATTTGGGAAAATCCTGAGCTGATTTTCCTAAAGGAAACTGCAGCGGCTCCCAGCTGGGGTTGATAGCCACCTGGTCAGTCTGCGGCTTTACAGTTTGTTTTTCACCCCGTGCACCAGACTGGCCCTGGAGTGAAGCGTGGATGCAGCCCCTGACTGGGAGGTTTAAGCCATGGCCGTCTTTAAAGTGACAGAGGGGTTCTATAGCCTGGGAACGCCCACCCCACTCTGGGTGTGGAAACCTAGAGGCCAAGGTCCCATAGCACCATGATCTCATGGGGTGGAGGGCAGTTTTGGGGTAGAGAGAGCCCCTCAGGCAGGACCCACTTCACAGCTCAGAGAGGATCCACCTTGGGCTGAGTCCCATACTGAGTAGGGGACCCTAGCTCTGTGCTGAGACAGTACCAGGAACCACCCCGATGGTACCTGGGGAGGCCAAGGCTCTGGGAGCCTAAGTCCATGCCAGCAGGATGAGCACCATGGGTCATCACCAGCCCGGGTCCTGTTTGGTCCCCATCACTCTCTGGACTTTTCCTTTTGTCTGGTTGGCTCCTGCAGGAAGAGGGACAGAAAGCCAGCTCTCTGCTCTGGAAAGCCAGCCTAAGATTTCTGGCAAGTGAACCCTTGAAATCCCATTCCAGTCTGCCTTCTTTGCCTACCCACTCCTCCCACAACACCCTTAAATAGTTGCCTCTCACCTGGGCCATGACAGCTCCTAATGTGACTTGGACTAACTGCTCTGTGACAATCCTTGGTGGCATCACACCAGCTAAAACTTATGCCATAATCTAAAGAAGGATTTGAGCCTTTACATGATGGTTTCATTCCACATTGCCTTATGGATCCTATAACTATGGGGCTCATAAAAGTAACACATGTGATGTGGAAGGTATTTGATACTGTGCTATTTCCTAAGCCGCACAGGTATCCTAGAAGTCATATGCTTCCCAGATGGTTATGAATCCCACGTGTTTTGCAAGATAGGGTGGGAGGGGAGAACTACAGTATATAGAAATACAGTATATATTTTCCCAACTGTTCTCCTGGGCCCGTCCTCAGATACTTGAGTCATGATAGGACAAGAACTCAAGTTGTGTGGGGGGGAACAACTCAGCTTCCCCGCTGCAGTGTTCTTGGAGTTGCCTTATGAATCCACAAGCTCCAGGACTTCTGAACGGAAGGCAGATGAGAGGCACTTTATCCAGTCTTGGAAAGAACCTAACCATGTGACTGAGAATTAGAAAAACCTATATTTTTAATGTAAAAATAAAAGAGGAGGGAGGGCTTCCTGGACCTCACAGAGTATCGGGTGTCTACAAGTGCTTTTATATTTTGTAACTGTAAAGAGGTTTCTTATGCACAGAAGAGCAGTTGGAAACTGGTCCGCTGCAGTGAAATGAGATGACCTTTGCATGTACAGAGACGTCGCATTCAGACTCTGAAAACAGCAAATAAAGCTTTGATGCAAGTTGCATTGGAGAATCGGCACGTCTGTGTGAATGAATGGGGGCTTGGGGGCAGGGGGCCCGGTGCCCTCGCCTGCTGCTGAATCAGTCCCTCCCCGGTGCTGAGCTGTGGGCCCGCAATGGGAGGGAGCTGGGGTCCTGGGGCCACGTGTCATCCACGGCGGGAGGTCATGGAGATGCGGCGGCAGGTTCAGAACAAGGGATTGAACCCTCACTTTGCTACCTCCTGGCTGGAGGCGTCTCGGTTCTCTTAGCTGTGAGGTGGGGGGTGGGCGAGGATCCAGGGCAGGGGTTCTCAGCCTGGTGGACTGCACCCTCCAGAGGTGACCATGGGGAAGAAGATGCTACAGGTCCCTGGTGAGGAGAGGGCAAGGGACGCTGCTCAACGGCCCCCTCTCCATGCCTGCCTCCCACAAATGGGACCTGCTTCCCGATGCCAGCGGTGCTGAGGTCAAGAACTCTCGGTCACCGAGTTGAGACACAAGAAAGTACCAAGCATGGGCAAGTCCTCAGGACCCAAAAGGACACAGTGGGAGGGAGCCACTCTGCCTGCACCCCTCCTCCCTCCCCAGGTGCCTGGCTGGTGATGACTGCCTCCCAGGGTACACACAGGGTGGAGGCCAACCTGGCTCTGTGCTCCCTTGGACTCTCACAGGCTCCAGCGGGGAGCAGAATGGGAGAGTGCGGCTGGGAGTCCTTCAGCAGCTGAGGTGGCATCACCGGATTACCCACCTCCTGTCCCCAGGGGTTTATGCCTACTTGAGGCTTTTTACCCACAGCAAGTAACATGAGAACCTGTTCTTTTCAATTTACTCCTTTCCCCCCTCATCCTCTTGTAACCATTGATGAAATACCTATCAGACAAAACTATAACACTATACTTTTGTCAGATACTTAAAATGCCTGGACATAGTGTCTCCTTACTGGTCACTAAGAAGCTGACCGTCATGATCTTCACTGCTGCTGAGGCTAAACACCCAGGCCTGGGAAAAGCCAGCCTCTCCTTTCCTCAGCTGTGACTTCACATCTCATCTTTAAAGCTGAGTGGCTTTCCATCTCTGATCATAGTTCCTCCTTAAAATGAAGACTATAACAACGCCTCCCGTAAAGATGGTTGGTTGGGTGAACACTAAACATAAGGCTGACAAGCTGGTACAGAGCCTTGCACAGAGCAGTTCTGCAACAGAGAGCTAGTATCAAGGACGCCGTCCACATGAAAAAGTGAAACTTCCCAGATCTGTTCCCAGGGACTGGACTGGAAATTTAGGCCCTCTGGCCCATGCAAACCGGGAGGATTCTGGGGTCCCTGGTGTTAAGAACTGTAGCCCTTGCAAGGGTTCTGTGTACCCCAACAGGAAAATGGTGACACCAAAAGGCCAGAGGCAGGGCACAGGGGGCACCGGAAGCTTTGATGTCCCCTGCCCCTGCCCAGCACTGCCACCTCCCACGGAGCATAGGGGGCCATCTGCTTTCGAAGTCATCAGAGGCCTCGCTGAGAAGACAGGCCGGGGGCCTCCGCAGGCTGCTATTGGAGTGAAGTGGCCCGGACACAATCGGAGGGACAGGGCGCTGCCTCAGCAGGCCAGGATGTGCTGGGCTGTCAGAACAGGCCCATAAAAAGGACAGTCACCGGGAGAGGCCGCGTGTGCAGACGTCCTTCCGGCTCCTGTCTGTCTGTCCTGTCCAGAGGCTACAGCACAGGTTCCTTGAGAGATGGGCGGGGTAGGGGAGGCGGGGCTGCCCTGACAGGAGGAGCTTGGTGACCTCCTGGGGGCGCATGGCTGGCCCCTGGGTAATGCTGGGGATCCTGAGGGTGGGGCCGAGCAACAGGACCGGCTGGGGGAGGCGGGGCGCGCTGCAATGTCTGTGTTAGAGGGTGGTGGCCAGGGTCAGAGCCTCCAGGCTGAGCAGCTCTGAGGATGAGGGAAAACTCAAGAGCCGCCCAGGGCCCTGCGCGTCCCCAGCAGCGGGACTGGGGCTGTTTTTGGCTTAGGCTGGCCGCACCTGACCAGCGGCTGCAGCCGTGCACGTCACAGCCCCGTGTGCACAGCACATGGGCCCCATGGCCACGTGTGCCCAGTGTGCAGCAAGCCGTGGGCAGGGACCGTGGTGCGTGAGCGCGGGCGTGGGGTGGGCACGAGGGCACCTTGTATACCATTGTGTGTCTGCACAGTTGCACACAGCCACGTGCCCAGACACAGAACTGTCCTGAGCGTGCCATTCGGGGGAGTCCTGCCACGTGACAGCTTCACGTGACAGCCCAGGGGCCTGGGCTGCGTGTCACAGTGCGCAGCGCAGTGAAGGGGAACTGTGTGTCTGAGTCTGTGTCTGCGTCCTGAAGTGGCTGGTACAGCTAGTGCTCAGTGAGTGTTTATAGAATGAGTAGCTGACAGCGTAGACCCTGACCGGAAGCGGGTGCTCAAGGCCCTGGTCTCTCACACGTCCTTTCTCTGGATGTCATCTGTCTGTCCTTTCCCACTGCCATCGGTGGCCTGCCGTTCACCCTGGTCACCTGGCCCAGGGCCTGGCACTGAGTAGGTGCTCACAGAGTCACTGGGGAAGGGGGTGACAGTAAGCAAAGACTGTCCTGCTCAGAGTGTGGAGGTGGGGAGGTGCCTGGGAAGAAACCCCCCCGGCCAGACTCTGGCCTGGGTCCAGGGGTGACGCCTCTGCAGAAGGCTCCAAAGCCCCCATTTTGGAGGGAGCAGTGGAGCATGGGGGCAAGAACATGGGCTTGGGCCAGGCCCACTTGGGGCCTCTTTCTCACTGTGTGCCACAGAGAAGTGGCTTTACTTCCCTGGGCCTCAGTTCCCTCTGTAAAATGGGGCTCCTGGTCCCACTGACTGTCACAGCCTACATGACCCATGGGAGGTGTTCAGCTGGTGTTTGTTGAATGACTGAATGATCAGTGCAGTTCATGAGTCGTGATCACATCCCAAAGGCAGTAAGGTTCTTAGCTCTGCCTCTGTTCCAATAACGTCAACACCGGGGTCTGCCAGGCTGCACCTGGTGACCCAGTCTCCTTTGCTTTGAAGCCAGAGCGTTCCTGAGACATGGCGGAACAGCACGGGGCACCAGAGCAGGCTGCAGCTGGCAAGAGCCACGGAGGCCTTGGGGGCGGCTACAAGGTACTGGGCAGAGGGGTACTTGGGGCTCCAAGCCCGGAGCTGCGCCTGAGCTCAGAGGCTGCTTCCCACCAGGAACCCTCTCTCCAAGAGGAGCAGCGCCCTCCCCAGCACAGCCAAGAACCTGCTTCTCCACTTCCCTGCACCTTCCTGCGTCCTGTCTACAAGCCCCACCAGCCAGAGGCAGGAAGGAGTCAGGAGGGCAGCTTCTCACACCCTCCACCCTGCCTCGCCTAGGCCCCAGGTCTCACCCACTCTGGGCCTCAACAGCCCGCACTCCAGGCCCCCAGATGCAGTGTGAGAGCCCAGGGCAGGGTGGCTGCCTCTAGGGCCCTTTGGAGGAGCCCGAGGAGAAAATACGGACAGGCTTGTGTTTTTTCCTTTGTGGTACTGGGGAAGCCTTCGCCTACTGAGCTACATTCCCAGCTGTCTCCCCCACCTCTATTTTGGTCTTTTTTTTTTTTTTTTTTTAATCTTGCTAAATTGCCCAAGATGAGTTCCAACTTGAGATCTTCCTGCCTCAGCTTCCCCTATTGCTAGGATTATGGGCGTTCACCGCTAGGTTCAGGTTCTGAGGGCATTCTGGTCTCATCTTCAAGAGAGGAGGACAACGGGCCAGGAAGGCAGCGTCCAAGATCTGCTGCCCTTAGGCCTGATCCTCAGAGACCCTGCATGCGGTTCTAGCGACCAAGGGCCTCTCTGCCTGGCGATCCCGGCCAATGGGTCCAGGCCACCAGGGGGCAGTGCGGGCGCACCGAGGGCTGAGGGCTGGTTGGCTCCCCTGCGCCTTAAGGGGCAGCAGGGGCTGCAGGTGGGGGCCTGGCGGGCTGGGGTGTTCAGGACGCTGCTCTTCCAGGTGACCGTGTACGAACTGGAGAACTTCCAGGGCAAGCGATGCGAGCTCACGGCCGAGTGCCCCAACCTGACCGACGGGCTGCTGGAGAAGGTGGGCTCCATCCAGGTGGAGTCCGGCCCGTGAGTACCCAGCGGCCGCACAGCCCGCGCTGCCTGAGCCTGCCGGGACTGGGACTGGGGGACAGGGGTCCTGCTTGCAACTCAGAATTATTTGCGAGGGGGCCTTTGGTAAATTCCCTCCCTTCTCTGGCCTCAGTTTACCCATCTGCTAATGGGAGAGTGGAATTGTAGTTCCTTTTAGCATCCTTCTAGCTCTTGATTTCTGGGGTAAATGGCAGAGTACTGGGGAGAGGGCAGAGAAAGATGCCTGGCACAGCCTTGAATATTCAATTTACATATATATTAATGGAATTTAATATTTATAATTTTGAAAAATTATAAACAAGCTACATTCCCAACCCTTTTTTAATTTTTAAAAATTTTGAAACAAGCTGTCACTAAATCACTACGTTGCCCAAGCTGAGGTCAAAGTTGGGATCGATCCTCCTGCCTCAGCCTCCCAGAGTGGTAGGATTACAGGCAGTAACATCTGGAATTTAATGTGAATTATATCATGAGTCCTCATTGTGTGAGAAAGGTGCCATTCTTATCTCCTTTTATAGTTGAGGAAACTGAGGCCAAAGTGTTAGGTGTCCCTCCCGTGCCCACAGGTAAGCAGGGGTCCCAGCTTGGCTCTGCATCCCTGCCGACAGACGGGCAGTGCGGGCGGTGGCCCCATCTGTAGTGTTGGGCAAGCCATGCGCTCCCTGGACCTCTTCTCACCTGTGCAGTGGGGGTGACAGTGGCACTGCATCGGAGGGAAAGTTGGTGAAGATGAACTGAGTGGTGGGGAGGGGAGTGAAGAGGAGGCGGAGGAGGAGTCGCCCAAGGAGTCCTGACTTCCTGTCCGGTATTGCTGGACCTTTCTGAGCATCCTACACAGAGGCGGACATCAAACCCATCCTCAGTGACATCTGCTTGGATGTATCTCTGGCCC